CTGGCGCTAGCCACAATCTTCGCTTTGGTTTGTGTGTTGCTGACGAGAGGAGTGAAACCAGCCAGCTGTGAGCCGCAGAGCCTGAGCAGCCAGGGGGGAGAGCACAGTGATCAGAGCCTGGTCTTCGCTGATCTGACGCCGGAAGAAATGGGGCAAGTGGTGAGGTACCTGCAGCGCAGCCTTGGGGTGCCATTGGTAGACGCCTATAATGCAAACTCCTCCGATAACTGCATTTACTACATCGATGTGCAGCTCCCCACCAAGGCAGAGGTGCTGGGGTTCTTGGATCGTGGGGGCAGGCAACCCCCCCGGCAGGCGCTGGCTGTGGTGTATTTTGGAAACCAACCAGATCCGAATGTCACGGAGTACGTGGTGGGTCCCCTGCCCAAGCCAACAACTCACCAGGACATCACGGTGCAGAAGTACGGAGGGAAGCTGCCGTATCACCGCAGACCAGTGCTGGGTAAGGAGTATGAGCAGATTGAAATCTTCTTACGGAAGAAGGCGTTCTCAACAGCCCCTACCTTCCTGCGTCAAGTATTTAATTATGATGGGACCAATTTTGTATCACTAACCTCAGCCCCCCGGGGGTTCCAGTCCGGAGACCGCAACACCTGGTGTGCTCTGTTCCACAACGTGAGCGGCTACTTCCTGCACCCGGTGGGGCTGGAGGTGCTGGTTGATCACAGCAGCCTGGACGTCTCCCAATGGCGGGTGAGAAAAGTGTTCTATAGCGGCCAGTACTACGGGGACTTGGTGCAGCTGGAGAGCGAGTTCAACCAGGGCCATGTCAAAGTGGACCCAGTGATGAGAGCCCCACCCGACGGGGGATTCTCTTCCATGAAGCCCCGAGCAGCCCCCAGGGCTCCATTCCCTCTGCAGTACGAGCCGCATGGGCCCCGCTACAGTGTCCGAAACAACCAAGTCGTCTCCCCGGCCTGGAGCTTTGCCTTTGGGGTGAACGTGAACACGGGGATGCGTCTCTTTGACATTAGATTTAAGGGGGAGAGGATTGTCTATGAAATCAGTGTCCAGGATGCAACATCTGTCTATGGGTCCAACTGTCCTGGAGGGATGTCAACCAGGTACATGGATGGGAGCTTTGGCATCGGGAGATTCACGTACCCGTTAGTCCGGGGGGTTGATTGCCCCTATTCAGCCACCTACGTAGACACACACTACTTAGCTCAATCCCCAAACCCTAGAATTAATAAAAACTCCATCTGCATTTTTGAGCAGAACACTGGGTCTCCTCTGAGGCGCCATTACTCCAACTTGCAGTCCCTGTACTACGGGGGTCTGACCAACTCTGCTCTGGTCCTTCGGTCAGTTGCCACTCTGGGCAACTATGACTATGTCTGGGACTTCATCTTCTACCAGAACGGAGCGATCGAGGCCAAAGTCCAAGCCACAGGCTATCTGAGTTCGTCCTTTCTGTATGGTGACGGTCTGGACTATGGCAATAGGGTTGGGGATCACACCCTGGGGACGGTACACACCCATTCCATCAATTATAAAGTGGACTTGGACGTTGGAGGTAGGTCTCTTGGTGATGTTTCTTTCTCTCTCTTCTGTGCCTCTCACTTATTACGTGCTACGGGCAGTCCTTGGACTTAGGACACAATTGGTTCCTGAAAATTGCGTCGTAAGTCGAAACGTCCTAACTCAGACCCGCAATCCACTCTATTGCGGGACCGAGTATCCTAAAGTTGAAACTAATTGTCGTAAGTCGAATCAGGGTGTCAATTCAGAAACGTAAGTGCTGTTCGTCGTAAGTCGAAGGTGGTAAAGTCGAGGACTGCCTGTATTTTGTCGAACTGCAGGAGTGGGGGCTGCCCCAAGATGCAGAACGCTTGCAGATGGCCAGCAGCATCATCCTTGGTCGCTTTCTTACCCTTAGAGCTCTTTGCAACGTTATTTATTGACTTATTCAAATGAAGAGTCAGGGAACGTCACAAAGCCCAGGAGCCATGCGAATCCCAGCAAGAGGCAGCTGGTCCAGGGAAAACGGGCAAGGTAGCAGTTTGGAAATGTGTGTATTTTTCTTACACCCGTCAGTTGCCAGGCATAGGGTGGGAGCCAGGGTCTTGCTAGTTTTAACCACTGCCTCTCCCTGTGACCTGGGGGTTGTCACCGTTCCCCAGAGGGCCTCAGTTTCCCCAGTGTAAAGCAGGGATACCAGCGACTGTGGATTAGCTGATTAGCTTGTGCAGTGCTAAGCATGTACTGATCTCTGGGAACGTTTGTGGTTCAGGTCCCAAGACTCGGACCCCAAACTGGCCTCCTTGCGGCTGCGGAATTCCTCTTGCTTCGTCGCAGCCAGGCATGTTTTCCAGCGGCAGTTCCCCGGGGGGGGTTATTTGAGAGTTATATAACGTCCTACACACCAGGGTGGTTTGGTGCGACTGCGCGCGCCATCTGCTGGCTGAAACAATTGGTGTCGTCTAAGTGTCTATGCTCAGGTCACTGTAGCCCCATTTGTCTCAATGGGGCTAAGAGACCAGGTCGCAGTTTTCTTGTCGGAAGGTCGGTCTGTTGGGCTGCAACTCAGCAAGGCGTCAGTTCAGCAGGGACTCTGGGAAAGCACCCGGGGAGCAGCAGCATTGGGGGGAGGGTCTTTAAAGTAAAACCTCTTCTGCAAAAAGGGAACAG